AGTCCTCCTGGGCTTCCCCCTCAAAGTAAAGATGTGGGGGGACAACGTACTGAGAAATTGCTCGAATGAGTGAAAGGGCCTGGGGTGAGGCAGAAGAGCGTGGCCAGGAACTGGGAGTGATGCAGAGGACATAGAGGACATGCCCTGTTAAAGGAGGCAGCGGCTGCAGTCTCATCGCTACTGAGAGCTGGGGCTTAGGACGGGCAGCTCTTCTGGTTTCTCAAAAGAAGCTGTGGAAAACTAGGTTTTTGTGGGAATTTCCTGTTTCTTAGTTTGACAATAATTAAAAAACTCTTCTTCAAAATACATTTCTTCCAGCCAGACGGGGTTTGTGGGCCAGGAGGGTATAACCTCTGGGCTGGATGTCTTCCAGCGTGAAGGTCTCAGCACTGCCCTGGGACATCACCCATGGTCCCTAGGGTTCCATGGGCCTGTACTCATGGCCCCTTCACCTCAGGGCTTGAAACCTCCGAACCCAACTCGTGTTGTCAGGACAGCTGTCATTTTTTCTCTCTATTATAAAAAAAGGAAATGTAGAGGCCAACAGGCGCCATGGTGTTCAGGCACTGGACTGCCACATGGCTGACCAAGGTTTGAGTTCTGGATGTGGTGGCTTGAAACACGCAGAGCACGTGTGTGTGTGCCCAAAATCCCAAGAGGAGAATGCAGAAGAAGGGATAGTGGCATGGTCTCACCCCATTTCTCACCTTCCCTTTCATTGTCTCTCCAGAAAGCACATACACCCTGTGTCAGAAACCTTCAAATAAATTAACAAAAAAAAATTTTTTTTAAGAAATGTATTTGAATAGCTAGCGGGTAGATCATGGATTTATCCAAACAGTGTACATGACCTAAAACATATATTGCATAAAATTTCCTGAGAATTCCAATACTGTGGATCAGGAGATCAATGTTAGAATCATGACCCTACATACCTCTTGAGCCCCTTTTTGTTTGTTTGTTTTAAATATATCATAAAAGTCATCCACTTAAAGTATACAGTTCAGTGAGGGTTTTGCTTTTTTTTTTTTTATTCACACACTTATATAATTATCACCAAAATCTAATTTTGGAGCATTTTCAATATTCTAAAAAGAAACTCCACACCCATATTCGCTGTCACTCTCTATCCCCTCCCTGTCTACCTCCCCTCAACCCCCACAATCATTAATCTGCTTTCTGTCTCAACAAATTTGCCTATTCTGGAGGTTGTGCATACGTTAGATTTTGCATGCATTCAGCTGTTATGAATATCACATGTGTCTTTAAGACTGGCTTCTTTGATTTAGTCCAGTGTTTTCAAGGTTCACCCCTGTGTGGCATGGATCAGTTCTTCATTCTTTTTATTGCCAAATAATACTCCATTTTATGAATGAATTATCCATTCATCAGTTTGTGGACATTGGGGTTATTTCTACTTTTCAGCTGTTAAGAATTTTGCTGCTATGAATATTCAAGTACAAGAGTTTGTGTGGGCATGTTTTCATTTTTCTTGAGTGTATGCCTAGGAGTAGAATTGCTGGGTGTATGGTTTTGAGCAGCCTTCCCAACCTTTTCGTACCAGAGACCAGTGTCATGGAAGACGGTTTTTCCATGGACTGGGGCAGCATGGGGAGGTAGGGGAGCAGATGACTAGATTCTGACTTAAAACCTTCGACCAAATGCAGCCGTACTATTGAAATATGTCAACTCTCTTGCCACGCCAAAGCCTGCCACCAGGTGCAGCTTAATTGTTACTTGCCACTCATTGTAAGGGTTTTGATATGAGTCTGCGAGCAGCTGATTTATTCTGGTCTCTGTGCAGTCAAACCTCTCTGCTAATGTTGATCAGCTTTTGCAGCCACTCCCCAGCACTAATTCACTGCCTCAGCACCACCTCAGATCATCAGCCATTAGATTCTCATAAGGAGCTCACAGCCTAGATTCCTCACATGCACAGTACACAGTACAACACTTGTTCCTATGAGAATCAAACACTGCCATTGATCTGCAGGAAGAGCTCAGGTGGAAATTAGTGATGGGGAGTGGCTGTAAATACAGATGGAGAGTCACTCACCCACCTGCCCCTTACCTCCTGCTGTGCTGCCTGACTCCTAACAGGCCACAGACCATTGGCCTGAGTCCATGGCTCAGAGACTAGGGACCCCTGGTTTTGAAGACCTACCAATTTTCCATGGCTGTACCATTTATATTTTCATCAGCAACCTATGAGGGCTTTAAGTGTCTCAACCTCCTCTCCAACACTTGTTATTTTTTATTATAACCATCTTAGTTTATGTGAAGTTTATTGTAGTTTTATTTGCATTTTCTTGATGACTATTGATGTTGAGTATGTTGAGTATCTTTTCATCGGCTTATTAGTCATTCATATATATCCTTTGGAGAAATATCTGATCAGCCCTTTGCCCATTTTTTTACTTGGGTTATTTGCCTTTTTGTTAAGACATAAAAGTCTTGGGACCAGCAGTTAGCGTAATGGCTATATCGCTGGACTCCCATGTAGTCGACCGCGGTTCGTGTCCCAGACCCAGTGGCTTGAAACTCACGCCGGGCACGTGTGCGTGCGTGCCCAAGATCCTGAGAGGAGAATGGAAGAGAAGGGATTGCGGCGTGGCCATCCCCCCAGAGGGGGGTGATTTCTCACTTTTTATCTCTCTGTCTGTCTAGTGAGCACACGCGTCCTATAGTGAAAACCTCTGCAAAAAAAAAAAAAAAAGATATGAAAGTCTTTATGTAATCTGAACTCAGGTTTCTATGAGCCTTCTCTTTGTCCCCCAAATTTAATGAGGCTCAAAATATTCTACTTATTAAAATAGGAAATTATTCCAATATGTGTAAAGAACAGTGTAAATAACAAAGGGGTTTTTTTTAATAAAAATACCTATTTGATTTTACCAATGTTTTTAAAGAGTTTTATTTAACTTTATTTATTTATTTAAATTTGATTAGAGAGGGACAGGGGATGTATGTACTAGAGAGAGAAAGCCTCCAGGTCCAGGACTTGAAGCATGGTCAGCCACATGGGAGTCCAGTGCCCTTAACCACCATGCCACCTGCCAGCCCCAGATTTTACCAAATTTTAACCGTATCATACTGAGAAAATCTGGTATTTCTTTTATCTGTAATCATATTGTATTTTAAGTTAAAAATCATTGATAAATGTGTCTCTTAAATCCCAAAAACATTCTAATTTTTATCTTCCTAATTTTGTCTCAATCATGCCACTGACTTACTTGTGACTTCCAAAATTAAATGTAAATATTAGATTGAAAAATACTTCCAAAATGGGTTTGCTTCTAGGGAGAAGAAGTTCGGATCACAAGAGGACAGGAAAAAGAAGAGGGTTATTTTGTGCAATATTTTAGACTAGCACATGTAGTGTCATTTACAAATTAAAATGGGCCATGGATTATATTAGAGTATTATATCACTCTAAGTTGTTCATTGAACTGTATTATATAAAAGTATGTTCTTGTCCTAAGAAAATCAGACTGATGGGTTTAGGGGTAAACCTGTATGTAACTTACTCTCATCAAATGGTTCAGAAAAAATACTAGTGTTTATAGAGGAATAAACAAATGTAGTTGAATAATATCAGTTGGTGAATCTGAGTGAAGGGTATCCTAGAATTCTACTTAGTATTCTTGCCACTCTTCTGTGAGTTTTAAATTTTTCCAAATAAATATATCTGTACATAGAAATTTTAAAAAGAATGTTCTTATTCTTGGCTATATATATATGTGTGTGTGTGTATGAAAGAAAACTTAATCTTAGGAAGAAAATAAGTATAAATAGTGAGTAAAATCTCAGATAAGAAGGAAGAAAGCTTAGTTTTTTGAACTTCATCAGATAGACTATATGTTTACAACACAGCCCACAGGTCACTGGAGATTTTTTCAATTATATACTATGTGACACCAAAAAAAGGAATAAAGATCAAAAGTCATACCACAACTGCAAATTTTCTAACCATCTTGTTTCTTGCTTTGATGTTTAAGTAGATGAAGAATTTATCATTTTCACCAGGCTCGGCCAGGCAGGATTATTTTAAACTCATGAGAGGAGTGAATGGCATCTTCACAGTTGAAAAGTCAAAAGCCAGTGAAAGCCTGTTACTCTGTCCTTGTTTCTGATCCAGAAAATAGCCTGTGCAACCTTTATTGCCTCCCGATGTCTCTGAAGGCGGCAGTCCTTGGAAGCTGATGGTTCCCTTAGCCCTAGAAATCTGAGGGTTTATGATACACAGTCAACAGCTTGAAGGGAAGAGGCTATATTCACTCTACTTTGTAAAGCCCATCAGAACAGATGCTGTTTCCCATCTTGCCTAACCAATCTTAGGTTTTTGAAAAGCCAGAAGACTTTTTATTTTTTTACCGTGTCCATAATTTGGGGAAAAAAAAAAAAGTATCAAATGAAAAGTGAGGCAACTCTGATCCTTTCATTTCTGCATTCCCACATTTCACCAAATGGAAGACATTTGGAAGCTCCCCAACCACTGCTTTCCTCCTGCTACTGATCTGTATTTTTGCAGCTTTCTCATCATGTCTTTTATAATCAGGAGGAATATAAATGAACTGTGTTTAATAAGATCCAGGGCCAGGCGTGGGTGGAGCAGAAATACAACTGGACCTGTATGGGAGGAGCTTGAGTTTGTATCCCAGGGCCTTCCTGAGCACACCACGCACCAGGCATGGATCGTGGCATAAAGACTCCCAATGGGGTTGGGAGGGGGACCTGCAGGTGGCATGGTGGTTGAGGCACTAGACTCCCACATGGCCAACCGTGGTTTGAATCCCAGACCTGGCAGCTTGCTTTCTTGCTTTCCCTTTCTCTCTCTTTCTCTGTCTCTTTCTGGTCAAATTTTAAAATAATAATAATAACAAATGGAAATAAATAAGTAAATAATTCTTTACCAAAAAGACTTCCACTGGGGGGGAGGTGTTTGTTTTATTCTGAAGGCCACTTGCTCATTGTTGATCTTTTTTTTTTTTTTTTTCCAGTAAAGGGTTACCTTCCAGTTCCACATTTACCTTGGAAGAGGGGACCATCTACCTGACTACTGAGCCGAATGCTCTGGAAACGCAGGATGATAATGCCTCTGTGCTTGATGTCTATTTAGTAAGTTTTTGTTTCTTTCTCTTTCTTCTGGTTTATAAATGGATTCAGGTCATGACTTACAGAAGAACAATTAATTAAACCAGGCGTGCTTACTATGTTTTAAAAGAAATATTGGTACCCTGTCACTTCTACAAACAGTACATCTTTTCACAACCTGTGTTTCCCCACAGCTCATGTAGAACATTTCACAAAAGAATATCTAGGTTAATACTGCATCGCCGCACATGACAAAAGAACAAATCCCCCCATGTCAAGGCAAAGTAGGGCTTCTTGGTGTTACTCCCAGCAGTTTTTTCTTTTGACTCACTTGCGCCCCCTTGTGTTTGAATTGGCTTCCTTCTGGTGTCTTCTTCTGACTCACTTGCACCCCCTTGTGTTTGAATTGGCTTCCTTCTGGTATGGCTCCCTTGCTAAGTCAGTAGGCTAAGAAGCACAGAGCCGGATTGTGGGAAGAACCTCATCCACCCCAGAAAATCTTGGCTGACTGCCTCCCTGTTTGTCACCACCCAGCTGTGTGATTTGCACAGAAACCTCTGGTGGCATGTCCCTATGTGCCAAAGGAGGGGAATTTGCCTGCCATGCCTGCCTCGTAAGGCTGCTTAGAGGATCATAAGCGATGGAGTGTGCGAGCGCCTTTAGGGCCTGTCACATTGTCTATCTCCGCTTAATCAAATTGCTAGATTCTGCCTGGGGAGCTGCCCTGGCGGACCGAACTGTGCAAGAGTATTTCCCACGCCCGCACACACGTCTCTATATCCTTGCACTCTGGCACAGAATCATACCAAGCAGGGAAAGGGTCCGTTTGACATTGTCTCCTTTTTAAGATCTTTTTATTTTATTTATTTATCTCTGATATGAGTAGGAGACTGAGATACAGCGCCCCTGTCAGGAGTCTTGACACTGCGATCTGCCTCCGGTCTCAGCCAGCCCCCGAACACGGGCACACATGTGTACCCAGGGTGGTCTCTGTGCATGAGCAGCACCCTTCCCATGCGGGTCTGCCTCACAGCTTCATGTTTTACTACTGTGCCGTCCTCTGGCCCCTGTTCATTTAAGTTAGGCCAACCCTGAGCCAGTTCTCTGTGCCACTGTTGATGCTCAAGCCTGGCCTTGGGAATAGACAGCACTTGGCGAGGGTCTCCGAGCAGCGTATCGCCAGGCCCTTCCTGCTCCTCCTGGCTGCATTTCATGCTTCTCTGTATTGCCCGACTTAGCACCATTCTTCCTCCAGTATCTTCGGCAAGATACTAGTCACCGAAAATGTGGTTCCTCAGCCAGGCCCTCTAGTGTCAGCCCAGTTCTCCTGGGGTAGAATCCGCTGTCTTCAAGGCCCTCCACAGCCTGGTCTCCGCCGTCTCTCTGGCCCTCCGCTCCTGCTCCCAGGCCTCTCTGCTGATGCTGTTCCAGCCACACTGGCCTCCAGTGTTCCTCCTGCAGGCGTCGTTTCTGCCTCAGGACCTTGGCATTTGCTGTTTCTGTTCTGCCCTCTTCCCCAGTCATCCTGTGTTGCTCCCTCACTTCATTCAGGTCTCAGCCCAAACATTTTCTCAGGCAGGCTTTCCTTGTCTTCCTGTGTCGGCCTCCCACCAGCTATTGTGGAAGGATTTTTTCATAACTTCTGAATAAACTATTTTTTTCCCAATGAGCAATGCTCCTCAGTGTTAGTTGAAAATGATAGCATATGGGGTATAGTGATTGAAGTGCTGGATTCCCACACTTTGGTTGACAATGGTTAGAGTCCCAGACCCGGCAGCCTGAAAACCACACTGGGCACGTGTGTGTATGCCCAAAATCCCAAGAGGAGAAGGGATTATGCATAGCCATTCTCCTGGGGGTGGGGTGGTTTCTCACTTTCTCTCGCTCGCTCGCTCGCTCTCTCTCCCTTCTCCCTCTCCCTCCAACGAGCACACACACACCCTGTGGAGAAAACTGAAGGGAAAAAAGTTACAGCACATCACAGAATCATAAACACACACAACTAAGAAAATAGGGAATTAAATAGGAGCAAAGGGTTTTTGTGTTTGGTTTTGCTTTTCGTCCCGTGGTATGTGGGTTTATCTGGAAACAGAAATCAGGAAAGCATTTCAGAAAGAGGCCTTTATGATCCAGGAGTTCATGCCACTTTTGTGTGTATTTACAAAAACCGGATTTGCATGAACCGGTGGTGTGGTACTCCTTAGTGGAAAGTGAAATCACCAGGTGGTTAATTGGCATTGTTGATGCCAGCTCCTTATCTGTTAGTCCTCATTCCTTTGTTAGGAAGGCTGTCTCATTAATCATTTTGCTTACCGCTCCTTGGTATTATCAATTTCATTCATAAGGGCACTGCCATTGATTGGGTTTTATTAGCATCTTACTACATTGCTTCGTTAAGAGTCTCTAATTCTTTGACATTAAAAAGCAAAGCCTTTCAGAAAAGGATAATGCTTGCCTCACAAGCCACAGGGGAAAGCCACAGTGTTAATTGTTGGTTCTGTTGAGAGCACTTGAAAATCAATTTTTACAAAAGGAATCACGGGAGTTTACAGCTGAAAGAACTGGCAACGATGGTTAGCTGGCTAATCTGGTCATCTGGTCAGTTTTTCCAACACAGAGTTTTCTGTGGTCCAGGAGTGAGGGAGGAGAGAGGAAAGCAGAAGGAAAGAGAGCCATCAAGCTGTGGAAAGTTCAGAGGCAATAGAGGGCCGGCCCCATACCCAGCAGTTAAGGAAGCCAGACCCCACATGACCTTCTGCAGTTCAAACCCCAGACCTAGTGGCTTGAGAAACATGTGGGACACATATGCATGTGTGCTCCAAATCACAATAAGATGGAGAAATGGAGAAGGGATGGTGGTGTGTCCATGCTCCATGGGAGGGGAGTTTTCTCCTCCTCTCTCTGACAAGCCTGCAGGCCCTCTGATAACTTCTTTTTTCAAACTTGTGTTTTTTTAAAAGAATTATTTTATTTTAACTATTTATTTACTTAAATTTGACCAGAGAGGGACAGAGAAAGAGAGAGAATAGAGAGAGAATGAGAAAGCAAGCTGCCAGGTTCAAGATTTAAACCATTATCAGCCACGTGGGTGTCCAGCGCTCTTAATCACCACACCACTTGCTGGCTCCTCCCTCTGGTAATTTTATTTTTTTTTAAGGAAGCAGTAGAAATTTTTTTCACCAAACTTGGAGAAAACTGCCAACATAACCTGTTTTTATAGCTCATAACAATAAGCTGTGAAACTTTTAAAAATTGTTTTGTACATGTCTGTCACTGACCTAAATACTTTCAATGTATTAACTCATTTAATCCTCACAACACTAGGAGGTTGGTATGGTCACTAGTCCAGTTTACAGATGAGGAAACTGAGGCACCTGGAGATTATGTAATGTTGCCCCAGGTTATAAAGCCAGTCGTCAATAACAGCTGGGATTCAAACCGGAAGAACTGGCCAGAGGCCCACACCCTTAATTTTTGGGCCATGCTGCCTAGATCAGGAACTGTGTTGCCCCTGAAATATTGCAGATTGAGACCAGAGACCTTAAGTAACTTACCCCAGTCAAACAGCTATGCAGAGGCAAGAAAAATATAGGGGACCAACAGGTGGCGTGGTGGTTAAGGCACTAGACACTCCTATGGGGTCAACCACGGTTCAGGTCCTAAACCTGGTAGCTTGCTTTCTCACTTTCTCTCTCTCTCTCTTTCTGTGTGTGTGTGTGTGTGTGTGTGTCTCACTGGTCAAATTAAAATAAATGAATAAATAAAATTAAATCAAACTTTAAAAAAGAAATAGAAGAAATAGGATAGGGAGACACGTTGGGCCAGAAAACATGGACTTTTAAAATTTCCATGTAGACTGAGGGCGTTTAGCAGAATCATAGAAGGGGACCAGTGTGGCATTGTTGGAAGGACAAAGGAGTTTGAAGGATAATATTAATGGCGTGTTCTACATGCCAGGCACTGACACGTCCTTTCCTCGCATTGGCTTGTTCACGAAGGCAGGTTTTACATTTGGCTTCATTCACACAGGTGAGGAAACTGAGGCTAACTTGACCAGTTCTCAGAACTGGTTAGTGGGTTAGTGACAGGGACCAGCAGAGGGCGTAATGGTTACATGGCTGGACTCCTGTGTATTCGACCTTGATTGAGCCCCAGACCCTGCAAATTAAAACTCACGCCAGGCGCATGTGCATGCATGCCCAAGACCCTGAGAGAAGAGAAGAGAGGAGGAAAAGTGATTGCAGTGTGGCCATCCCCCCTCCCCAGGTGGGCTGATTTCTCACTTTCTGTCTCTTTGTCTCTCTCTCTGTCTCTCTGGTGAGTGCACATGCCCTATAGCAAAAACCTCTCTAGGAAAAAAAAAAAAAACTGGTTAGTGACAGAACCAAAATCCAAATCCCCCTTCATAAGCTCTTCTGCCTAATTTTGAACTCATGAAGCCCCCCAGCACTGGCGATGGTACTGCCCATTGATAGTCTCCCTTCCATCTCGTCCAAATCATGCTCCTTATGAAGGGGAGAGAGATTCGAGAAGGAAAGGGGGGGAGATGTTGAGAACTTTTTTTTATTTGGAAGTCCACTTTGATTTTTTTTTTCTTTTGCAGTTATTTTATTTTATTATTATTATTATTTTTGGAGAGGTTTTTCTATAGGGTGCGTACGCTCACCAGACAGAGACAGAGAGATAGAAAGCAATAAATCACCCCCTGGGGGGTGGGGTGGGGGGATGGCCATGCCGCAATCTCTTTTCCTCCATTCTCCTCTCGGGATCTTGGGCACGTGCGCACATGCACCCGGCGTGAGTTTAAACCACCGGGTCCGGGACTCGAACCATAGTCGGCCACATGGGAGTCCAGCGACATAGCCATTATGCTAACTGATGGTCTCTTGCAGTTATTTTTTACTGTTCTTTTTTGTTTGTTTGTTTGTTTGTTTTTTGGGGTTTTTTTTTTAGAGGATTTTGTTATAGGGCACGTGCGTTTGCCAGACAGACAGAAAGAGACAGAGAGACAGAAAGCGAGAAAT